ATATATATGAGTCCTAATGAAGGCTGGACAAAGCAAAACGTCTAGTTTCACTCAGCACAAAGCTTTAGAGTGCAACTGTCATAAACTGCCTCATCAGTTTGAGTAAACACATACAGACTCAAAAAACTGCTCGTGGCTAAATGTAAGCTAAACTCCAGCTGCTAGGTGGTTTTTAGCCACATTTTCAGCCAGCTCCAACAGCAGAGGGTATCTGAGGMTCCTCTTCCTCCAGGACTCTGGGACTCCCTGAAGACCGGTCTGGAAAACACACAGAGTTGGACGCACAGAGGGAAGAAACAAAAACAAGAAATTCAGACGCTAACAGGCGGGTTTGTGACGGACCTGCGCCCCGAAGCAGGCGCCCATGAAGGAGGCTCGGCTGGCGGTGCACCCCCCGCGCCGCATGGTGTCCCTCACGGCCTCGTCCAGCCGGTTCTGGGTCAGGACTCCGTGAAGCGCTGCCTGGAACGCACCGGGCAAAGCTGCACACACATCCGGTCGGACTCGGTCAAAAAACAGCTAAAGATATGGCTGAAGATGCAGCTAAAATCTTCAAAACGCTGAAGAACCGTTAATGCTGACTCAGCACTGTTGTGTTTATCCTCCTCTAATTCCATGTATCAAAACATTCGGCTCAATCAGGAAAAATCTGCTAAAAACTTTCTGTATTTGTGAAATTATTATTTAGAATTATTTTATTTTATCTGGAAATTTTAAAAATAAATAGAAATACATTGTTCTTCAGAAAATTCACTCTATTTTCTTCTAAAGCCACATGTAGCAACAATGCTACTTTTAGCTTATAGCTACAGTTTTGCTGCATATAACTGAATAACTGGATGAGTTAACGTTACTGTTGTGCAAAGTTTTGCTTTTAGCTCTTGATTGGCTAATGTTAGCTTTTAGCAACAGTTGAGCTAAATTTTGGTTGTTAGCTTTTAGCTACGTTTTAGCTAAATGTGGCTTTTAGATCTATGTTTGCTTATTTTAGCTAATATGTGACTTTATACGATTTTGCTAATGATTTGGTAACAATTTAGCTTGCAATTCAGAAATAAAAACTATTTACCAGAAAGGGGCATTGTTTACTTTAGCTACTTCTTTCCTAATTTCATCTTTTGCCAGTTGTAGCTTTTAGCTACTGTTTTGCTACATTTAGCTTAACTAATTTGAGCTTTCAGCAATAGTTTTGCTACAAAAAACTTTGATTAACTGATTTGATACATTTAGTTTTTAAATTCAGTGTTTAGCTTTAGATTGGCTAATGTTAGCTTTTAGTTAGTTTAACTTAATTCAAATTTTAGCTCTAAATTTGTTAATTTTAGCATTTAGCACCAAATGTGCCAATTATTTAGCTATTTTAATTTAGCTACAGCTTTGCTACAATAAATTTTTAGTAACAGATTTGATATGTTTAGGTTTTATGTACTGCTTTGCAAAATGTAGCTTTGAACTCCGGATTAATGTTAGCTTTTAGCTACAGTTGAGTTAAAATGCACGTTCTGCTCTGAATTTGCTAGTTTTAATTTTATTGCTACGTTAATTAATTTCAGCTGTTTACAAAGATTATTTAAATGTTAGTTTGTAGCTACAGTTTGCTAATCATAGCTTTTAGCCACATTTAACTAACTTTAGCTGTTTTAATAAGATGTTTGATGCTAGCTTCTGGTTATACTTGGCTAATTTTAGCCTTTCAGAATCAAACTTTATTCATCTCAAAGGGAAACTGCTCCAGACTGCAGTTTCACTGGTTTTCTGGTCTGCTTCAGTTTTTAAAGGCCGTTAGCAGGAAGTGCAACAGATGGAGCAGGATTCCTCGCAGCGCTGCAGCTTTTTAAAACCTGAGACGGTCGGCTCAGCAGGAAGGACGAGATGAAAAAGAACGGAGGAGGGAGACCATTAAAGATCAAAGAGTGAGAGGACAGAATAACGGATACGCTGTCGGGAAGGCTGCGCAGTCGATGCCAAGTCAACAGACCCGAGTCCTGCTGCTCCAGACGTTTTTTACCTCAAGTGTCGGTGAACGCAGCGGGGAGCAGCTGATGGGACGCTTTGGACAAGGTGTCCCTCACCTGGTGGACATGTGCTTCGGTTGAAACAAGAAAAACAAAGAGGAGCTTTTCAGACACCTGATACTCCATGTTTTCTGTGAAAAGATGAAGCTACGACACATTTTTCACATCTCTGTGRTGATAAGACCATAGATTTCCCCCCGACTGACAAATATTATGCTTTATTTGAAGATAACTGTGATTTATTTAGCCTTTTTCTTCATGTCTTTGTCTGAAAGATGAATAAAAGGAAACTGAAGGGGAAATTAGTTTCTGCTCCACATTACAAATTCAAGATAAACATCAAGATGTAAAACATTTCTCCCATTAAAACCCCACATAAAGTGCTTTTAGCTGCAGGCCTTTTCATTAACAGAGTCTTAGCTGGCAGAGATTAAGCTGAGAGGCGTCCTGATTGGATAATGTTACGGATCATTTAATCACAGTGACGTCCATGGATATTATCTGGCTGTTTTTTTTTTATCGTTTGTACTTCCACATGAACCCTTTTCATTCTAATAAAATAAAAAACTGTAAAATGTAATAAGAGGTCAAATCTGGGGAAAAGCAAGTCGACACTGTTTCATTTGCTGCAGTGGTGGGCACAGCTAACCAAAAACACCAATCAATTTTAGAGAAAAAGTAAATTTACTAAACTTGTAAAAAAAATACTCGCAGAAGCTAACGCTAAGGAGCTAACTAAAAATTAGCAAAGGCTAACACCAACAGCTAACTGCTAACCGCTAAGTTAGTCTGCATCGCACGTCTTCATCTCCTTTAGGCTGAAGACTGAAAGGACGGAAACAAACCTGTTGATGTTAGCTCGGTAGTTAGCTGTTAGTGATTAAAGTTAGCAAAATCTGATTTAGTGAATGATAATTGGTTCTCTAAAAGACCAAAGTTGGTAAAAAAAAAACTAATTTCATAAACTTGTAAAAAAATACTCACAGAAGCTAATGCTAAGCAGCTAAAACAACTCAAAATTAGCAAAGGCTAACACAAAAGCTAACTGCTAACCGCTAAGACACCTGTTACTCAGTCTGCATCCCACGTCTTTTCTTTTAGGCTGAAAACTGAAAAGACCGAAACAAACCTATTGTTAGCTTGTTAGTTAGCGATTAAAGTTAGCAAAATCTAATTTAGTAAAAGATAATTGGTTCGCTAAAGACCAAAGTTAGTAAACAAGCTAATTTCATGAACTTGTAAAAAAAATACCCACAGAAGCTAAAGCTAAGCAGCTAAAACAACTAAAAATTATATTAGCAAAGGCTAACACAACAGCTAACTGCTAACCGCTAAGATGACTGTTACTCAGTTTAGTGTGTTAGGGATTAAAGTTGGCAAAACCTAAATAAGCAGAAGATAATTGATCTGCTAACAGTCTTCAAAGTAGGTGAAAAAGCTAAAAGATGTTCTGCCATTAGCTGTTAGCTGTTAGCTGAACCATGCCCACCACTGGTTGTGTYTGTCTAATCTTTACCAGGTTCTAAAATTATTCAAATTTAATGTCAAGTGACGGAGAAAACAACAGACTCTACTGGGTCCAGGCCCTGATCCAGCAGCTTGTAGACCCTCCGTTAGCAGCAGTAGGCTAACTCTCAGTCTCCTACATGTTTGTGGAGGACTTTTGTCCCTTACCAACAACAGCCTGGTCCAGCTCCTGGGGGTTCCGCCTTCTGGGGTCATTCAGCTGAGCGAGAACCGCATCCAGAACGTTTGGATCGGGACCGTTCAGGATGAAATGTTCCAGAAACCTGATTTAACAGACAGTCGTAGTGAGATTCACTCTTCTGGATGACACGCGCAGACGTGGGCAGGCCCTCACCTGGCAGCAGCCAGAGTAACGGCCACGCACAGGTCATCGTTCTGCGTCACACGTACGACCTTCTCCACTTCCTCCAACATCTCGGCTCTCCCAGCCAACATGGCCACCACTGGAGCGAGCTTCGTCACGCCGTCCATCTGACGGTCCACGTCGCAGCCTGAAAGCAGACAAAAAGACCAAACTGGTGTTCCTCAAAGGAAAGCTCGTCGTGCGCCATCAAACCTGGATTATCTGCTGGAGATGACTCTCAGCTACTACCACACCAACTTTTAGGTCAACATCTGTAAAACAGTTAAAACAGTTTGGTAGCAGCTGGTAATGAGTTTTTACCTGTTTCCTCTCTGCCAGCATCAACGTTTCTGATGAAAGCCTTCAGGCTGGCATTTCTCCAAGGGCCATCGATGGGAAGAACGGCTTTGGGACCTAAAAGTTAGAGTATGGTAGTAGTTACAGTAGGGTATGAATGTATACACCATCCATCCGACCGTCCGACCATCCAACCCCACATTCTGGTCCATACAACACTCTTAACAGTCTAGAATGGTGGCCCTTTGGTGGCTCAGATGTGGTTTGCCAGAGGTAATGGCCCAGGACCACATAAAGCAAGCTGGGCTAATTATGGCACTGAGAGATTAGGGTAAACTAAACCAAAACATAACCATGCCAGTTGTGATGTTGACAGATTAGGGCCACATAAAGCAAACCACAACTGGGCCAGTTGTGGCATAGACAAGTTTGGGCCACATAAAGCAAAACACAACCAAGCCAGTTGTAATGATGACAGACTTGGGCCACATAAACCAAACTATAGCTGGGCCAGTTGTGGCACAGACAGATTTTGATCACACAAACCACAACCATGCCACTTGTGATGTTGACAGATTAGGGCCACATAAGCCAAACCACAACTGGGCCAGTTGAGGCATAGACAAATTTGGGCCACATAAAGCAAAACACAACCAAGCCAGTTGTGATGATGACAGATTAGGGCCACATAAAGTAAACCACAACTGGGCCAGTTGTGGCATAGACAGATTTGGGCCACATAAAGCAAACCACAATGGTGCCAGCTGTGATGATGACAGATTAGGCCCACATAAACCAAACTACAACTGGGCCAGTTGTGGCATAGAAGGTTTGGGCCACATAAAGCAAAACACAACCAAGCCAGTTGTAATGATGACAGACTTGGGCCACATAAACCAAACTATAACTGGGCCAGTTGTGGCACAGACAGATTTGGATCACACAAACCACAACCATGCCGGTTGTGGTACTGAACTGGCCCAGCTGAAGTTCAATGTCTCTAGCCTGGATGAGGGTTGTTGAGGTCCCACCCTGGATCCAGTCATGGGGAGAGGCTCGTCGGCGAGTTCCTGGTGGTCGGGCCTCTACACATGGGAGCTGTTTAGGGCCACCCATGGCATCATCATGGGACCATGTGCTGTTTGTTTTAACAGATTTTTTTCAGTTTTTTGTGTTCAGTTGTGAATGAAGTCACTCCTGATGAGGATGATGATCATGCAGGTAGAGCCAAAGCAGGTCTGTGCTGCTGGGGCCATTCACTGCAGAACTGTATTTTCCTGCCAGTAAAAAAGCAGCAAATATTCAAAGTGCTGGATCAAGAACAGGGAAGTTACAGCGAGTGCAACACGCTCATGGAGAGGGGGCTTCCCCGTCAGCATGAAGGAAAAAAATCGTTACGCTCATTGTTACGGTAACAAAAACGCCCACATCCTGTCCGACCAGCAGAGTTGGTCATTAACACACATGGAAAACTGACAGTCTGAGCAGACACACAACCTCCTCTCTTCCTGTAGGGATCGTTCAGCGGCAGGTCGTACACGGTCCCCGGCCCAAAGAACTCGTAGAAGCGCCTGGTCAGGTCTTTGACATCCACTCCTGTCAAAACACGACGTGGAAACTGTCACGTTTGTCGTTTTTAGCATTAAATACTGTTTCCTGAAAACCACYTGGGACAGAGTCTGTGTTGGTTTGGGTCCAGTACCTCCACACCGACTTAGAGAGTCCAGCAGGACGTAGGCCTGGTCCCCGTAGCAGGTCTGCTCGCCTGTTGTCCTCCGGTAAAACGGATTGGCCGACTCGGGTCGAAACTCCGGACAGGGCTCCAGATCTGAGAGAACCTCTTTCAGCCGGTCTGGATTGTAGATCCAGTGCATGGGCTGAGCTGAACGAGTTACAAAGAACACACAACACAATGTATACACACACACAACACATACACACACTTAGATATTTCAATTTCTATCTAAAGTTTTGCTACTTCTAGCTCCAAGTCAGCCTTGTGCTACTTTTCCCTTGTTGCTACCGTTTGGCTACTTTTAGCTTTCAGTCAAGCTCCGGCTACATTTAGCATTTTAAAAATGTGTTTGTTTCTTTTAGTTTTAGTCAACCTTTATTGTTACCTTTGGCATTTAGCTAGCCATTTTTTACTTTTAGTTCATTGCTAAAGCTTAGCTACTTTTAGCGCCACTCACCAGCTTTGTGATTATTTTCAAGTTTTTGCTACCAACCAGCTTCTTTTAGCTATAGCCTTCTGTTTATTTTCTTAGCATTATAGAAAGACTTTTATTTCTTTTAGCCAATGTTTTTGCTATTTCTGTATTCTAGCTTTTATTTTTCAGTGTTTTTGCTCATTTTAGCTCAGATGTACTCTTTTAGCCTTTTGCTACTTTAAGCTTTACGCTAGCAATACGCTACTTTTAGTTTCTAGCTAAAGTTTAGATTTGCTTAGCATTTTGAAAGCTTTGTGCTTTTGTATCATTTAGCCACTTGAGCTTAAGCTTCTAGTTAGCTACTTTTAGCATTTAGCTAGCATTCATTTTTTTAGCCAGCATTATTGTTATTTCTGTATAGCAATATATTATTTTATTATTTTGCTATCATTTAGCTACTTGATACTTTTTACTAGTGTTTTAGGACTTTTAACTCTTAGCTAATAGTTTTGCTACTATAAGCTTCTGTATAGCTCTTTTTATAGCCTTTTTCTGATTTTAGCCTTCAATTCAATTCAATTCAGTTACTTTGTACATTTTAGAAATACTTTTATTTATTTTTTTTGCTGTTTTTGCTGTTTCTGTGTTCTAGCTAGCTTCTTAATACTCTTAGTTTTTAGATAGCATTTTGCTAATTTTAGCTCAAAAGTTTTAACCTTTAGATAGCAATTTGCTACTTTTAATTTTTAGATTAATTTAGCTTTTTGATAGCCTTTTATTAACCTTTTGGGTATCATTCAGCTACTTGAAGCTTTTCGCCAGTGTTTATTACTTTTAACCCTTATTAGCTAATAGTTTTGTTCTATAACCTTTTAGCTCTTTTATGTAGCCTTTTGCTACTTTTAGCTAGCCTTTGGTTACTTTTAGCATTTGTAGTGTCCAAGAGTGGGGGCCTCTTCTCAGGAATGCACAGTGTTATGCCTCTCTTGGTTCTCCAGCTTCAGAGCTCGGCACATATTACCATATTAGGAAGAGGAGTGTTTAAGGTATACCGTGACAAAATTTATGGTGTATCTGTTGGACTACACTATAAAGAGCCTTGTACGCCCCTGCTCTTAGCCTTCATTCTTCATGTTTCTTACTTGGTGAATCATTTGGCTTGGAGGCCACAATTTGGTTTTTGGCTGTAATCTCCTGGACTGCAAAATAAAGATTCTTGCTGTTCAACCAGCCTGTTTCAGAGTTTCTCTCTTCATTGAGCAGCAGCAGTTCCGCAGAACCAGAAGACGTGGTTTTTACACCTCACATTTCAGAAACATTTTTATATCTTTTAGCCGATGTTTTCGCTAAAACTTGACTACTTTCAGCTTTAAGCTAGCATTTTGCATTTTGGCTTGTAGCTAGTGTTTTGATAATTTTGGCTCCAATGTCTCAGTTTTATATGGAAGCCCATTTCCGCCACCCTGATAAAAAATAAATAAAACTTGTATCTCATAATTATGACTTAGCTATCTCATAA